TCGTCCATAAAATGCATCGCTGTTCTGTTGCAAGTAATCTTAAAGATTCCTAAATGCATCTACTTCTGGAAGGCCAAATAAAGTGCTTTTGCTTTCACCTAAAAACACACAGCGTCCCCTTTAAATATGTCATTTGAAAAGGATTATAAAATATTGTTAGTGGGGTTTTTTCCATAAACATTTTTTGTTTAATTGCCTGAATATTTAAACTGTTCTGAAGGTATGTTGAAGGAGTTCCCATATATGCAGAGCACTTGTTAGCTGCCTTTCCTTGGATGAGTCCAACTCATCCATTTAAAAAAGAAATTTTTATTTGTATAAGTATTTGTATGATTTGGTATGATAAGACCATGATAAATGTAAATTCAGTCAAGTGTATACAAACATCTTTTGAACAAACACATTTTTAAACAAAATAAAGTTTAATTTTTTTCTTCAAAAACACCTCTTTTTTTCTTTTAAACAAATGTGAGTGCCTTGTTTTGATTTTATTTATTTATTTATTTATTTTTCAAAAACAGTCCGTTTTAGTTGTTTTAAACAAATTTGAGTGTTTCGGTTTGTTTGGGTTTATTTTGCGTTTTGTTTTTTGTTTGTTTGATTTATGCCTTGTTTTGTTTCAGAAAACAGTCTGTGTTTTGTTTTTTGTTTTGTTTTTCTGGGAAAAAATACTGTTCTAAAGATCTTTTATTTTCCAGAGAAATATTGATTCCTCATGATCCTTTTAATGTCAACATTTGATTATGGAATAACAGAATCAGGTGTTATAGAAAAATCTGTTCTGACCTTTGACCTCTCCCCATGACCTTCCAGACTGACTTGAGTGATCTGGACTTGGAGACTCTGGCTCCCTACATCCCCATGGATGGTGAGGACTTCCAGCTCAATCCCATCTGCCCGGAGGAACCGTCATCTGAGATCGGAGCCCTGAGAACCAACCAGCAGAGCTTCAGCAACATCACAAGCCTCTTCCAACCCTTGAGTTCCCCTTCAGCAGCCCACTTCCAGCCCAACATGAGTTCAGGAGGGGACAAGCAGAGCATCAACAGAGGCTCTGTGGAGTCCTGGCCATCTGTACCCTACAGCAGGGGCCCCATGCAGATGCCTCCCTACCATGACCCCGCCAGCACCCCGCTGTCCTCTATGGGAGGCCGTCAGAATCTGCAGTGGCCGCCTGACCCTCCGTTACCCAGCAAGGCTGGAATGATGGATCCTTTAGCTGCAAAGCGCTCTTGCCAAACTGTGCCAGCAAATCGAATGGCGCCTTATTTGCAAAGGTGATTCTGCATATTACAGGGTGTTTCTCTGGGTTCGGTCTTATAAAATAACATATGCTGCTATCTTTAGATTTGCACTGGATGACTCCGGTCTTTGTTTCACAGGCCCATGGAGAACTTTGTGCAGAACTACAGAGATATAAGTCCAGCTCGACTTGCTCTTGCTAACAATTTCAAGCGCTCCTTCACACAGATGACAATGGTTTGTTCATATTTAACCTGAAATGCTTTTAGAATATTAGAATGATTTCTGAAGGATCATGTTACACTGAAGACTGGAGTGATGATGCTGAAAATACAGCTTTGTATCACAGGAATAAATTACATTTTAAAATATATTAAAATAGACAACTGTAATTGTAAATAATATTTCACAGTATTACTGTATTTCCTGTATTTTTGATCAAATAAATGCAGCCTTGGTGAGCAGAAGAGACTACCATTCAAGCTAATATTTTAAAATAGTTTTGATAGTGTATAATGCAAAAAAAATGTAATCTAAACATTAATAAATCATTATTAGTGATTAATAAATGTTTAAAAATCTTGAGAACATTTTAAGAAATATAAATTAAAACAAGTGTATCCAAGCATTTGAAACATTTTGAAATGATAGTTTTTAATTGATCTATTGGGTGATTTTTGTGTTTAAACATCATGTCTTGAAGTCACTGCATGCTATGACTGTGTTTTAGAGTGAGACGCCCCCCACAAAATCACAACACACAATGTGGAAGAGACTTCGAAATGAGAGCTGTGCCGTCATGGACAGGAAATCACTCAGCACTAGCGCTTTGTCAGGTACCACACTGAAAAAGGATTATTAGTATTCATTTCTGATGAACAACTACATCACCCATGAATCTGCAGAGAAATCTCCACCAATCAGAGAATCCCGACAAGTAAATTGTGTCAAAAGAACACTTTAGTGCCCGACAACTCCCATGAAGCACTATAAATGACGTCTCCTTACTCTGTCAGACTACTTGTAGTTGTTTCCCTCATTAAAGCAGTTAATTGCACACTCTCGTACCTCAAATATGTTTTTGCTTTAAATCAATGTTTGTAATGTTGTGATTCACCTTGTAGCTGGTTGGTTTAGTTCATGGTTTTTAAAAATCCTCAAGGCCACATTTTTTAGCAGCTGTATTGCAGACAAAACCAACACCAATTGTGAATCAAATGTGACCCTGGACCAGAAAACTTAAGTCGCTGGGGTATATTTGTAGCAATAGCCAAAAATACATTGTATGGGTCAAAATGATTGATTTTTCTTTTATGCCAAAAATCATTAGGATATTAAGTAAAGATCATGTTCCATGAAGATATTTTGTAAATGTCCTACTGTAAATATATTAAAACTTAATTTTTGATTAGTAATATGCATTTCTAAGAACTTAATTTGGACAACTTTAAAGGCTATTTTCTCAATATTTAGATTTTTTTGCACTCTCAGATTCCAGATTTTCAAATAGTTGTATCTCGGCCAAATATTCTCCTATCCTAACAAACCATACATCAATAGAAATTTTATGTATTCAGCTTTCAGATGATGTATAAATCTCAAATTCAAAAAATTGACCCTTATGACTGGTTTTGTGGTCCAGGGTCACAAATGTATTTCTATCTAGACAAAGACATGGCCCATAATGGAGGCATGGACCAGCAGCACAGGAAGACCCAGTATTCGGGGAATCAGGCCGGACAGGCGACAAAACGCCATCAAGAACAGTGCTGTAACTACAGAGAGTTCAACATGCAGCCTTCCTCCAAAATGGATGGTGAGCTCTGAACTGACACAGACACATCTGCACTTACGTACGTCATGCACTGTGGATGCTGATTCTCAGAACCGCTTTTGTTTGCAGGAGTTGTGAGTCGTCTTATCGGGCCCTCCTTTGAGACCTACTTTCTGCCTGAACTGACGCGTTACGACTGCGAGGTCAACGTCCCGTTGCAAGGCAATCTTCATTTGCTGCAGGGCAGTGACCTCCTAAGAGCATTAGACCAGACCACTTAAACCGGTTTCTCCACAGCAATGCAGTCCTACTTTACCCGACCCTAACACTCATCTCATAGCCACCATCCTGACAATAAGCATCCCAGCTTTAGCACATCCCACAAACACCCTCTCACAGTCATATCTACCTGAGCGCATACATGGCAAATGTAGCTTTGATTCTATTTTTATTGTCTACATCTTCATAAATTATATACATGTACTATTTTTTTTTTAGTTACAAGACAGTTTCTGAATGAATTTAAGTGTTTTTGGAGGAGTTAAAATTTTGCTCCGTTTTGTCTTCAGCTGGCTGTCTATTTCTCTGCTTGTCAGATCGTTTCGGCGAAGCTGTTTTCAGCATATTCTCCTCTTTTTCCTCTATCAATGTCAAACGAGAAAAAAAAGAAAGAAAAAAAAAAGAATCTACTGTAAGCTACTTGTTTTGAAATGTTCTAATTTCTTTCATTTGTTCTTCTAACTTTCCTACCTCTGACACATCATTAAAGGAAAACTCCATTATTTTCATTTTCCAACTCCCCTAGAGTTAAACTGTTGAGTTTTACCGTTTTTGAATCCATTCAGCCGATCTCCGGGTCTGGCGGTAGCACTTATAGCTGTAGCTTAGCATAGATAATTGAATCTGATTAGACCGTTAGCATCTCGCTCAAAAATGACCAAAGGGTTTCGATATTTTTCCTATTTAAAACTTGACTCTTCTGTAGTTACATCGTGTACTAAGACCAATGGAAAATTAAAAGTTGCGATTATTGATGATATTGTGCAGCGCCTGAAAATAGGCTAACTTCAGCCAACATAACCAACGTGACCACCTGCTTGCACAGGGAGCGTGCACTTTCCGTTGGAAGTTACCTAGCTGGGGACTATTTTCTGGGGATCCAACCCATGGTACGGCAGCAAAGTTCCTTGATTATTACGCCGGAATGAGAGTATAGTTCCTAGCCATATCGGCCTAGAAAATCGCAACTTTTCATTTTCTGTCGGTCTTAGTACACGATGTAACTACAGAAGAGTCAAGTTTTAAATAGGAAAAATATAGAAACCCTTTGGTCATTTTCGAGCGAGATGCTAACGGTCTAATCAGATTCAATGATCTATGCTAAGCTACAGCTAAAAGTGCTACCGCCAGACCCGGAGATCGGCTGAATGGATTCGAAAATGGTAAAACTCAACTGTTTAACTCTAGGGGAGTTGGAAAATGAGCCTATTTTCAAAAATAGTGAAGTGTTCCTTTAAAGACCCCATGAAATCAAAAGGGCAGTTTTGAGCTCATCTGTATGCTAATGCAGTGGTTCCCAAGCTGTGTGTAATTCAATGTGCTTTATTAACAATATTAACAATAGCTGATCTTCATGCACGTGCTGCTCTGAGTCGAGGGTTGCCAGATTTCACAAAAAGCAACCTGGTATAATATATACCAGGGGTCTCCAAACTCGGTCCTGGAGGGTCGGTGTCCTGCAGAGTTTAGTTCCAACCCTAATTTAACCCACCTGAACCAGCTAATGAAGGTATTACTAGGCATACTAGTAGAAACCTCCAGGCAGGTGTGTTGGAGACAAGATGGAGCTAAACTCTGCAGGACACCGGCCCTCCAGAACCGAGTTTGGAGATATATACAGTGACCCCAGTTATTGTGCTTTAGGTATATATATGCTATGATATGCAGACATGGCAAAACTAGTATAAGAGGAATTAATTAAATTAAATTAAACTAAATTAAAAAGGTTTTAATTTATCATGAATAAAATAGTTCTATATAAAATATTTAAATATTATTGAAAAAGCAATAAAATGACATTACATTATAATAGTTCAGCACATAAATTAGTTTCATTTTTGATTTAGTTCAGTTACACCTATGCTGGCAACCACTGTGCTAGTGTACTCCTAAAAGTTAACAAAATGAACATTTGTCACACATACTTTTATAATTACAAAATACACACAAAATGTTATAACTTTAATATATTTAATGTTTTAACATTTGTTCAATCAAATTCTGAAATGAAAATGTCCTCCTCTCTGCAGTCATGGTTGTAAAATATGTTTAACCCGTAAAAAAAAAAAACAATCCTTTAATATTTCCAACCCAAACTTCCTGTTTCAACAGGAAATATGTCAATAAAGGAAAGAAAACTGTGCTCGCGAGCTGTTTCATGGGGTCTTTATGCCATAGCTGATCTTCATGCACGTGCTGCCCAAGTTGGAGCTAAACTCTGCAGGACACCGGCCCTCCAGAACCGAGTTTGGAGATATATACAGTGACCCCAGTTATTGTGCTTTAGGTATATATATGCTATGATATGCAGACATGGCAAAACTAGTATAAGAGGAATTAATTAAATTAAATTAAACTAAATTAAAAAGGTTTTAATTTATCATGAATAAAATAGTTCTATATAAAATATTTAAATATTATTGAAAAAGCAATAAAATGACATTACATTATAATAGTTCAGCACATAAATTAGTTTCATTTTTGATTTAGTTCAGTTACACCTATGCTGGCAACCACTGTGCTAGTTGTGCTTTAGGTATATATATGCTATGATATGCAGACATGGCAAAACTAGTATAAGAGGAATTAAATTAAATTAAAATTAAATTAAATTAAAAAGGTTTTAATTTATCATGAATAAAATAGTTCTATATAAAATATTTAAATATTATTGAAAAAGCAATAAAATGACATTACATTATAATAGTTCAGCACATAAATTAGTTTCATTTTTGATTTAGTTCAGTTACACCTATGCTGGCAACCACTGTGCTAGTGTACTCCTAAAAGTTAACAAAATGAACATTTGTCACACATACTTTTATAATTACAAAATACACACAAAATGTTATAACTTTAATATATTTAATGTTTTAACATTTGTTCAATCAAATTCTGAAATGAAAATGTCCTCCTCTCTGCAGTCATGGTTGTAAAATATGTTTAACCCGTAAAAAAAAAAAACAATCCTTTAATATTTCCAACCCAAACTTCCTGTTTCAACAGGAAATATGTCAATAAAGGAAAGAAAACTGTGCTCGCGAGCTGTTTCATGGGGTCTTTATGCCTTTTCCTCACTGACCACTTTCAGTGTTCATGTTATTTGTGTGCCTTTCTTTGTTCGATTAGTAGCAATACTGTGTTTCTCTCTCTGATCTCCGTTTATTGCCTTATTGTGGAGACCACTTTAAAAACATATTTTTGTCTATTTAGCTGTAAACATACGTATTTAAAGGAAGATATTCTAAGATTTTTACCATAGATTTCTACTTTGATGATAAAGTTAAGCATTTATTTGTCCTGGTACTTTGTCTTGTCTACTCAGTAGATGTGAATCAGAGTCCTTATCGAGTGTGCAGTGCTGGTGTCCTGTGCTCTTTCTTGATGACATTTATTTCTGGAAATATGCAAAAATGCATATTACAATTATTGGCAGGCCAGTACAGTTGGTTCAAAAATTGGAGTAAAGATTTTTTTTATAAAACAAATCTGTTTTAGACATGTTATGTAGCATACTGGATCCTTAAAATGAGTTTAATCTTAGTGATTTCTTGCATTGTTTAAAGATGGTGCTTCATGCTGTCTGACCCATATGAATACCCATATGAATATAACAACATTAACTCTATCTATTTGAATTTCCCTGAGGTTGTCTTTAAAGTTGAATCATAAAGCATAAATTATTTCTTAAGGCTATTGGTTATGACTGTGGCAATATGTAGTAATGTAGCAAGAAATGACATATTAGCACTTTAGATCTTCTGTTAAATTTTAATGTAAATCTAAACCCCTGGTGAAAAAAAAAGAATGACACATTGCTACGATTTCAAGGTACAAAGATGAGGTTTGGCACACAGTCCAGTTTTTAAAGTAATAAGCGTGTTTTGATAGAAGACTGGAGATGTGTTGCTTTATGGTGGATCCGCTGTGTGAGACGGGATCTGAGAGAGTGGCTGTGCACAACTAAGCAAAGCTAATTCAGCATAAGAGAGAATGCCACAAAATGTGTCCGGGTCATATTTCACTCCAAAAGAAAAAAAAAGATGTCATAGGATTGATTATAAGACAATTATGCCTATTTTCAGCACTATTAAGATTGTATTGCATTATTTTCATTACAGTTCCCCCCCTGAAAAAAACGAAAAGTTAAGTATAAAAGTATAAAAAGGAGTTATTTAGTAGTTTAGTATTTTATTAGCCTTCATGGATTTAAATTTATACTGTTTAAAAAGAAAAAGAAAAAAAAATATTACAATGAGACTTATCATTGAGAATAATGGTAATTACAAACAACTTAATAATGAGAATTTAAGGGGGAAAATGTGCAGAATTGGTGTGTGTGTGTGTGTGTACATATTTCAAACTAGATCACACAGACATTTCAATGCTCAAGACTCACATAGATTGACACTCCTATCTGCTGCAGTGATAGACAGTCACAGTAGACACAATATGAGAGCAGGAGAGAGGCCGCTAGACAGATAGCACATCTCTCCAGACTCTCTTCAACTTCAAGATCATTCTTTACATCAAGGGAAAACTATATTGTTGTTGGGTGAAATGCTGCATATTCCCCCAATGTATCCCCCAGATACATCAATGTGCACATGCTTTTTAAAGGTTTAAAATCTGATATTTAAATTCTTACAGGTGCCTTAAAACAAGCTAATCTAGGTCACTGCCCATTTAATCATGTAGCATTCAACACTAAGCTACAAAGCAATGCAGTTCTGCACTTATTACTTGAATGTTCAGATATTAATGCCAAAGGAGGAAATGGAAAACTCGTATCTTTCTTAAAGCAGTGCAGCCATATGAAGATGTTACCGTGAGAGCTGTGCATCTGAATGTGCAGAAAGCGCTGGTACACGTATGTCTGTCTAATATCTACTGCTCTGAAGGTCATTCACCAGACCGAGAGCCCTGAATTTTAGATGACTCTGCCCTTATGTGCTCCACTGGTTTTGTGTATTTCTTCAACTTTAAAGACAACATTAGATAAATACAGAAAATAGGCAGTTCGTGCAGGCAGACGTACATATTTTAATATGCTAAATGTATATTGACATTATTATGATTATCGTTGACATTACTGTATGGGAAATGTTACCCAATAAGTTGTATCTCTGCACTGATATCTTATTAAAGCTTATCAATCTTCTGTTGATTGGTTTTTGTTTTCATTCATAGCAGAAATATCACTTGTGTGCTATCTGTTCAACCAGTGCCAGACGGTACAGTAATGCTATCAGTTGATAATACCATGATACTCCAATGCAGGGTCTTTCCATAGTAAAAAACATGGTATTACTCACAGTATTAGCAGTAGTATTAGTCATGTTTTAGAGCGATTTTACCATGTTCTTAGGCACAATGCATTCATTCCGTGCTTAACTCCGTTCATAAGGGAGATTTCATTGATTTCACAGCTTTTAAGTGTAAAAATGTTTACCAAAAATATTGAGTACATCATAGTTTAAGCTTTTAGAAGATACTAATGTACAGTAGATAAATCTATTATTAATGATAAACAACAAACAGTAATATAGTTTGGAAACTGTTTGCATTCCCCAGTCACTGTAGCATCTTGGGCAATTCAAATGTATAAGCATTTTATAAATGACATTTAATCCGTGTTATTTTAGTACTATTTATAAGCATAGTATTCACTTAATATTTAGAATTATTTCGTTTGTATACGTATTTTCGTTTTAGTAATTTTGTCACGTGCATGCTTTTGTCATTTTTATTATATGTATTTCTATTTAGCTTTATTTTATTTCATTGTCATTCACTCACTTAAACTTATTTCAGTTTTTTACTCATTTTCATACATTTTTTTCATCATTTCATTTCTTTGTTTCAATTAATGAAAACTATTTTAATCGCTGTAGCTTTAGCCGACAATAACGACACTTCTTGAATGCGTCTCATCCAATTTTGAATTTAATATCAGAAGTATCCATTTCATAAACCATCTTTTTTTTTTAAAAAGACTCAACTGTGTGCCAACTACAACATGTATACATGTGTTAATGATGTATAAACCTGTATAAAACGCTTCAGTCCTTTCAATAAAGTGCCTCCGGCTTTGAAACAAATCTGTAGCTCAGCTATTCAAACAACAAATATGGCATCAATCACCATTAAACTGTGCGTTTAGCTCTGTCAGAGCGGCAGTATGTTATTTCTGTCATCTCCATGGCATGTCACGACTAAACTTGTTTAATTTTTTAAATAATGGCAGGAGGACACACCTCTTCTCTTCTCAGAAAAGCCACAACATACAGCTATTAAAGTAACTGACCGAGAATGTAATGTGCTGAGTGGATGGAGAGGCTGTGCTTCAAATGGAGTTCTAGGCAAACCGCGTAACTCTTGGACCCTGATCGCAGACAGGCCTGTCCTAAATGTCCCCACAAGCCCAGGAAAATGTCCTAACAGCCCCAGGACGTTTGCCAGTACACATGCTAATTAAAGGAACTTTCCATTAGCAAACTCTGTCCCTCTCGGCCATTACAACCAAAAGAGGCAGGTTTGAAGCCAAAGGGCATGACGGGGAATTTGTAAAAACCACAGACAGTGAGAACGCAGATTAGAGAGGGAAAGATGCACAAGTTTTGTAACAGCATCAATAATGATCCTGTCAACCATTGCGGGATGCCAAAAAAGGTTGAAAGGCCAGTGCCAAACCAGTCGGTGTCCCTGGCTAACCCGTGAATGTTATCAGGCACACAAATGCACTGAATGTCCTCCTCCCTCGCCACCTGTGGAGTCACTTCTGAACCGAGATGTTTTCTGGACGCTCGCCTAGCCAAACCTCTCTCATTTATTTGTTATTGTCCTTGTTATTTCTGTTTGGAATATGACGCACATCCCTTCCTCGCTCTCCATCTTCCACAAACAAATGGACACAAATGGAGGCTGCCTCACGCAGCTTCCCGTCTTTGCACAGGGACTGCGTCTGAGGCAGTGTATTAGCAAACACAAAATGTGGCAGAAGGAAGTCAACCTGAAATGTCTATTATGGCAAGCCATTAACAACAGCTCGCTTAATGTCTATCGATCCAAAACGCACGTGCTGAGAGCTGCCCAATTCACAGCCTGTTCATTTTCAGTTCCCTTTGATTTCAGAGTCTCAAACACCTGTATGTGGACATTTGCTATTTTTTAAAATGTTTTAAACTAGATTTGCATTTTTTTTTTGTGGAAGATTATTATAGTGTTTGCAAGGAAGCAAAGGAAATGGTGGTAAACTTTTGGATAAGCTTATATTTTAGACTTTGGTTTTGCATGGATTAAATGTCTGTTGTCAAGACTCTCAAGATGTGCTTTGTTTTCTGTGTATGTGAATAAACACACATTATGAAAACATCTTTGAAATGTAAATGAGGTTGTGTGGTTAAATAGATATAAAAAAGACCATTCACAATGTAAGCAAAAATACTTCAGTATGCAAATATGGCATCATTGCTGGTGGGCAGAATTTTTGAGAATATTATTCAATGAAATCCTGAATTTCTTCAAATGTACAATGTTTATCAAATTTTAATTTAAAAATTTTTAAGATTAGTAATTAAAATGCTAAAGAAAGTTTTAATGGAGACTTGTTAAATTATTAAAATATTTTACAACCTAATTAGTATCCTATAAGAGTAAAGATGAATAATGTGCACTCTTCAGATCAAATGTTTTTTTTAATGTTTTTTAAAGTCTCTCAGGCTCACCAGGATTGCTTTTATTTATTAAAAATAGAGTAAAAACATTTTTTTCTTCTACTTATAATTTTAATATAATGAAATGTTATTACAGTTTTAAAAAACTATTTTCTATGTTAATATATTTTAAAATGTAATTCTTTCATGTGATTGCAAATCTGACATTGTTTTATTTGAGCAGCAAATCAGCATATTAGAATGATTTCTGAAAGATCCAGTGACACTGAAGAAGAATTCAGCTTTGCATCGCAAGAATAAATTACATCTTAATATATATTAAATTAGAAAATAGTTATTTTAAATTGTAATTTTATTTCACAATATTACTGTTTTTACTGTTTCAAATAAATGCAGCCTTGGTGAGCATAAGAGACTTCTTTTTGAAAAGCATTAAAAAAATAGTCATTCCACACTTTTTTCTGTAGTGTATCTTTAGAAAAAAGTACTGTTATAAAGTCATTAAGTGAAGCCATCAGATGGTAAAAACCCGTGTGCTCTGATATACATCATGATACTCTTTGATTATCACAGTGTCATTTACTCCAAGTTACTGTATATCAAAGAGTAACCACTACTGTAGTATGTCCAAGTAACCATTATTGCATGGTACATCTCCAAAAAAACATGGTAAATACCATTGGTAAGTGTGAAGCTGGTTTCTTTTTAGGTGTTTTTGGAGCAAACGGTGCAGGTCAGGCTTTGTGAAGGCTCTTATCTGGACACTGGCTTCAGCTGAAGAACGAACATAGCAATGAGAGTGAACCCTTGTGTAATCATTATTTATTCTGGAAGCAATCACAAGCAAAAAGAAAAACGCTGGGAGAAATTATAGAAAATCAGCCAAACAGTTTAGCATCAAGAGACTTCATGTCCTCTGCATCTTCCCCGGGGTCATTTTTTCCAGTGATTTGTTTCGCCAGTGCCACTGTTCAGAGCGCAGACGCGAGCCCAAACTTCACCCTCCTCAGGGGCAAATGCATGCATCTCAACCATAACAATCGCCTCCTGGAGGCTTTGTGCGTCTCTTCCTTCCCATGGACACAGGACCAGACTCCTTACGAAAGCCAGACTTCCACTCTTTCCCCAACTACAAAGATTTCATTTTTGGATCAGTTGATTCAGAGATTTCTGATCCTTATAGTGCACGAGAAAACAAAGTGCAGGAAAATATGAGTGTCTGCCAATTCAGGCCATGGGACTTCCTCTTTCTTTAACAGTCCACAACGGTGGCGACTAACACTAGGCCTACTTCTTGTAAGGTTCACGTTTTTCAGTTTGATTTGGAATATCTCTAAATAAAGAATAGAAAAACACTATGGGAAGAAAATAATCTTTAATAGGTCTGCTTAAGTTATACTGCTTGGGGGTGTTGTTGTTTTTTCACGTGAGGTACAGGTATCTGGACATTTTCACTTTTAACGGATGATGCTCAGAAAGACTTCAGAGAACAGAGAACAAAACACCCAGAACACTCAGAAATGACTAATGACTTGGACCGAAAAGGCTTCATTTTTGTGAACTCAGCAACCTCTCCTCTGTGAGAGCTTGTTCTAAGCTGTCTATCTAGTGTAATCGGACCATTACAAATAGTGCAGTCAGATGGAGCGATGTTAGCAGTGTCTGTCAGTGTTAGGACACTGGGAATGAGCATTTAAGCAAAACACTGAATTCCCTGTGCTCATTTGTTATGTGGCATCATTATTATATATCATATATACTGAACCTATTTACTGATGTTCTATTGTTGTGTGCTGATTTATTATGATGTCCTTTTTGAAACGGGGCTTAACATGATACAGCTTAAAGCTAGTTTCAATAGTATTTTTTGATTTAAAAAACGCAAACAAAATAAAATTAGAATATAAAACAAAACTAAAACTGTTCGCCATAGAGCTGAAGCTTTTATTTTGTTCCACACAGGACTTTTATTTTGAAAAGATCTGTCATGTTTCCTGTTAAAACTCAGTCGCTTGCTGCAGCTTACAATCTGAATTTCCGCACCGAGGCAAAAGCAGCTGTAACTGTACAGCGAGAGGTCCGCGAGACTTCATATTCACTTGAATGTCGGCTCAATGATCGGTATGATTTGTGAGTTGGCTTTCATTTGCCAAATAACATTTATTTTTTCGTAACTGTCAACTCGCAACATATAGCAGCATACTTACAGTATGTATAATACGTCCTAAATCATGTCTGGTTACTGTGTTTCCGTATTTAAATGGTCAATTTATACTTATAATCAAATAAAATGCCATTATTAAATATAAATAAACAAATATATATGAAATGATTGCATTAGCTTGTTTGCAGATGCAATTAATGATGTTCAGGACAGGTGTATTTACACAGGTATGACTTAATTGAAAGGAAATACACTAAAAGAGAGCTGAACTAATGAGTGGAAGGAGGAGAAGCAAACCCAATCGGGGTGGAGGACGGTTCAATAAACCCAGAGGTGGAGGAGGAGGAGGAGGAGGAGGAAGCAGGAAAGCTGCTAGTGGAGATTGGGATGATGGAGATGATTTCAGCCTGGATTTGGGTCCCAGTCAGTCATTCAAGCCTCCCTCATCTAGAGGTTCAAGAGGTGTCCGTGGGGCTCGTGGAGGAACCGCCAGAGGAAGATCTCAGGCACTGCCCAGAAAGCATGACGAGGATGAGAAGAGATCCAGATTTAGACCCGAGCAAGTGCAACTGCCCCTGCAGAAGATACACATGACGTCAGCGAACAAGCTACAGGTCAAAGAACTGCTGTGGGAGCTTCAGAGCCAGGAGTATCAGACGCCAAATAGGTGAACTTGACTTTGTTTCTACACTACATTTTCCCCCATTCATTTTCTCCATAGGTTTTTTTTAACCCCTCTTAACCCCTGTGTTGCACTCTAAGCAGTTGTTGGTTGGTTTAGTGTTCGTTCAGTGTGTAATAATTTAATATCGTCGCGTAGCGGCTCGGACTATGAAGGTGGTGAGGAGGAAGAGGACGAGGAAGAGGAGTGTGATGAGCTGGACCGTCGTGAGGAAGGGCAGTTCTGGCAAACCCATGATGATGGAGTAGAACGTGCCGAGAGTGACGTCTGGATGGAGGACTCGGTCGAGGAGAAGCACACAAAGCCAGAGCCGGTGATCTCCCTGTTTGCTCTGGGCACTCTTTGCAGGTACACTTTGGCTAAAACGGGCATCACTACTTATATTTCAAGATTATTGTAGTGGTAAAAAATATCCTGTTCAATTTACAATAAAAATACAACAGCTGTGGTTTAAAGAAATCCACCTAAAAATGTGGTGGCATTGTTTCAGGTATTATAGGACGCCCTATTGGTGCCTATATATTTTACCACTTATAACTGTATACTATATTTAATTCTGTAATGTTGATAAATCACTGTACTTGGAACTACCAAAATTGGATTTTTACCCTAAAATGTACTGGTACTTACCATAATAATGCAGGTGCTGCATACGATGAATCCAGGTTTATTGTAAGTGGCCTGTTTTTAAAGAATCGTCAATGCACATGTTTAGACTGTACACAAAACACCATCATGGTAACACACGACACTTCAGTAATGCAATAAACATTCACTAAATAATGAAATGTAACAAAACATCTGAATGTAAATGAGTGATAACAAAAAACAGAAGCAAAACTGTTTAAATAAAATCTAATCGTATGTGGTGTCACTAAGGGACCTCTTTTCCTGTTTTTCACCGTAAATTATACGGTAATTCATTAGCTTTTACTTGCAGTAACCATACATTTGACAGTATTTTACAGTAAAATTACATATAATGCAATGTTAAGCCATTTACAGTTTTCTATCTTTTAGTTAATATCTGTAATGATTGGTTATAACTGTGAAAATTAAATAACAGAAGCTGTAGAAACAAAACACCCTAGTGTACGTTAATGAGAAGATACAATTATTTATAAAAAATACAATCATATATGATGTGTCACGCACACGCAGGGACTTCTGGGAATGCCTTTTTACTGTTTTTTCACTGTAAATTATATGGTAATTCATAGTTTTTGCTTGCAATAACCATACATTTCACAGTATTTTACATAAAAATGAAATATTTTTTCACTGTATGATTAATAATCGTATTTGTAAGTAATAAATAAATGAACAGAAAATATAACACAAAACTCCCAAATGTACATTACATGATTATATTTTATATTTAAATACGTAAAAACTATTTAAAATGTTTTTTTTGCTGTTTTTCACCATAAAATAATTTGATAATTCAAAAAAAGTTTAAACTTTTTTCTGTTTACAGTGTGTTATAGCGTAACATGTGCAGATAGTTTATGACGGGATGGTAGACGAGGTGTACTTTTTAGCTTACTTTTATGAAGTGCTGAATCCGTTTGTTCACTCCGTATACTGTATTAGTAACTCAGTGTTTCCCATGTTGCAGATATGGGTTTGACCGTGAGCGCTGTCGACAAGCTTTGGAGGCTGGAGAAGAAAGTGGACGTGGTGAGGTTGGAGCGACATTAGAGCTCCTCCTATCCCAGATGTTCACAGAACGTTTTGGCTCCAGCGCCCTCAGACCCCAAACATCCGAGCTCCCTTCTCAGGAGGAATGTGTAGCTTTGCGACAGGAAGAGGCCCTCGCTTTGACCGCAATCTACGGGGATCGCTTCTGTGAGCGCATCAGCAGTCGTGTTTGGACTATTCAGCTTGATTTGCTGTGGTTGGATGAAAGTCAGAACAAAATTTCAGACTCTTCGAATTGTAAAAAGCAATCAGGATCCAATCAGGTTTGTAAGTTTTACCTGAAGGGGGCAGGTTGTAAGTTTGGAAACCGCTGCAAGTTCAAGCACCAAACTTGTGAATCGAGCTCTTCCAGAGATTTTTGTAAGGCAAGTCAACCGGGGTTTAGCAGCACAGAAGCTCCCGTTTACCAGCTGGAGATTCGTTTCCAACCATGTAGTTTATATCCTTTTCAAGCTCCGCTCGTGGCCTTCAGTAGCACCAATGAATCGCTCTCAGGCGCGGGACGCCTCAGTGTCACAGAGCACCTGTTCGATCAGTCACTCAGTGCTGCGCAGGAAGGACAGCCGGTGGTCTACACCCTCGTTTCCTGTCTGGAGGAGGACGGACCTGCCAGAGAGCTGCTGTCAGCTGGCCATCACAAGTACAGTGCTCCGCCCCCTGTTCTGACTCCACCCACTGTCACTCCGGCCAGGAATCGGAGTAGCAGGAACACGGTAGCCAACAGCATTACGACTGATAAAGCAGCTAGGGATCAATCAAACAACACCACCGAGAGCACACACCACAGAGTGAGACAAAAGGAAGGTAAGGGATTGGGCGTCTCAAAACTTGTCGCTATTAAAACTATATTTGAATGAATAGTTCACCCAAAAATGAAAATTCTGTTTTCATTTACATTTGCGTGTTCGATCAGATGCGTCATACCTAAGACAGGATATTGATGATGAACAAGAAGATGGTGACGATGATGATAAAGAAGATGAGGAGGAATGTATCCCAGTGGAAAATGAGAGCTATGTTAACTTGAGGAAGAGGATGGTGAAGAAGAGCGAGATCAAAACTGAGCAGATACTGCAAGAGAGCAAGAAGCTCTGCAGAGAGTTCAAGAAGAAACAGGTAACACACCTGATGCAGACCTGCCTTGCCCTCATGGGCTGGGATGTGTGTGTGACTGTTTTTGGTGTAGTATAGTATAAACATTTTCTTATCGTTTTCTTATTCTCATATAATTTCAAACCTGTATAGAGTGCTGCATTGATGATGTATTTTTGTAGGCCAAACTGTGAGTGAGCATCACCCTGGTTCTCTCGACAAAAACCCAGTAGGATTTTCATATGTTACTAACAAAAGATTCGTACACAATTATCTCCATCAAGACAATCTTCACAAATTAACACAACTTTGGAACCTAAATACAATCGGCAGAAGCGAAAAGCTAAAGTTAGGCTATAAATGGACTACACCACAGTCACATGACTTCAATGTCACCACCATCAAGCTTTCTTAATCTGTATTTAAAATATGCAAATTGGAAAGTCTGAGTTTAGTTAAGTCAAGAGCGTGGCAACCTCTGTAGCCCCATTAGCCATACGACTTTTTCGAGACCTGTAAAAGCTTAAGCGTGAGTGGCTCATAAAAGCTTCTTAAAAATATTATGTATGACCAAAGCGCTATATCCCAAGACTTCTGAAATCATTTGATAGCTTTATTTTATTATACAGACTGAAATGTATGTTTTATTCACTGAAAGTCTTGTCCTCTACTGTAGCTTTAAAGGAACACTCCACTATTTTTGAAAATAGTCTCATTTTCCAACTCCCCTAGAGTTAAAGAGTTGAGTTTTACCGTTTTTGAATCCATTCAGCCGATCTCCGGGTCTGGCGGTAGCACTTATAGCTGTAGCTTAGCATAGATCATTGAATCTGATTAGACCGTTAGCATCTCGCTCAAAAATGACCGAAGAGGTTCGATATTTTCCTATTTAAAACTTGACTCTTCTGTAGTTACATCGTGTACTAAGACCGACGAAAAATGAAAAGTTGCCGATATGGCTAGGAACTATACTCTCATTCCGGCGTAATAATCAAGGAACTTTGCTGCCGTACCATGGGTGCAGCAGGTGCAGTAATATCATTGCGCCTGCTGCACTCATGGTACCGCAGCAAAGTTCCTTGATTATTACGCCGATGTAATTGTAATGTAATTACGATGTAACTACAGAATAATCAAGTTTTAAATAGGAAAAATATCAAAACACTTTGGTCATTTTTGAGCGAGATGCTAACGGTCTAATCAGATTCAATGATCTATGCTAAGCTACAGCTAAAAGTGCTACCGCCAGACCCGGAGATCGGCTGAATGGATTCGAAAAAGGTAAAACTCAACTGTTTGACTCTAGGGTTGGAAAATGAGCCTATTTTCAAAAATAGTGGAGTGTTCCTTTAAATCCAATAGATCGCCTATTAACAAATTGCATCAGGGTTGATGTTAATGATTTCAAACTTCATTGGTTCCCCCATGTCTTGTGACCAAACCTCATTTTAGAGCACTTTTGGAGTGATTCAGTTTGAAGCTTGACAGCACCCTGTTTCCATTTACTTTCATTATACGGAAGAGAGCAGCCAGGATATTGTTCAAATGGTCACTTTTTGTGTTTTCACAGTTTCATTTTTTGTATCATTGTGTGTTCTCTCTCAGTCATCGAGGCGCTATACATCGATGCAGGAGCAGAGGCAGAAGCTACCTGCATGGCAGAAGAGAGAGGCCATATTGGAGTGTTTGGATAAGAACCAGGTTCTCGTCATCAGTGGGATGACTGGGTAAGACTGTGACCTGCAGCATTTATATTCTGCTAACCAGTTTTATTTGGTTAAAATTGATGTCCTTGACATCTATTCATGTCTGAATTATTGTAACTTTAGATGCGGGAAAACCACTCAGATCCCTCAGTTTATCCTGGATGATTTCCTTCAGACTGGACGGCAGGATAGAGTGCCCAATATTATTTGCACTCAGCCACGGCGAATCTCTGCCATTGCTGTGGCGACCCGAGTGGCCCAGGAACGAGCAGAGGCCCTGGGTCACTCTACAGGCTATCAGATCCGTCTGGAGACCGTCAGGGTAACACAGTTTATACAAACCAACCACATTTACTCTAGGTGCTGCTTAAGGCGTGAGAGTGATACGTCAAATATTTACCGTATATTCTCAATTTGATTTTAATCATCATTTGATTGTCATTTGCTGAATAACTGCTACCATAAGATATATATATATATATATATATAAAACTATTAAATATAAATGTCACTATTTTAGTTCTCGCATTAAATGTTTCATCTTTACTCCAGTCTTCAGTGTCACATGATCGTTCAGAAATCATTCAAATATGCTGATTTGCTGCTCAAGAAACATTATTATTATTATTATCAAAGTTGAAAGCAGTTGTTCTGCTAAAGTCTTAACAATAAACTTAATTTTCAAATTATATTAATATTAATATTATACACTACTGTTCAAAAGTTCGGGGTCAGTAAGATTTTTTTTGAAGAAGAAGTTAATACTTTTATTTAGCAAAAATGCATTAGATTGATCAAAAGTGACAGTGCGGAGATTTGTAATGTTAGAAAAGATATTTCAAAATAAAACTTTTTAAAGGTAATGTATATTAATATATAAATAATATTAATAATAAAAAAAGTTGTGACATGTTTTGGTTGTCGGATTCACCTGTTAAAAGTGGATGATGATATTTATTTATGAATGTATGTACATTTTTTAGGTGTGTAGTGTATCCTCTACACTCATCCCTGTCCAATGAGGAGCAGCAGGCGGTCTTTACCCGCCCACCCGAGGGTGCGACCAAAATCATCATCTCCACCAACATCGCTGAAACTTCTGTCACCATTGATGATGTGGTGTATGTCATAGACTCTGGCCGGATGAAGGAGAAGAGGTTTGAGGCGCTGTCCAAACATAGATTATTTATTTTTCTTGGTTAACATTGAATATTCTTTGTGGTTTTGGATGCATTGTCATATGTTTGTGCATGTATTAGGTATGATGCTAGTCGCAAATAATATTAATAATGAAATGTGTTGTGACATGTTTTGGTTGTCGGATTCACCTGTTAAAAGTGGATGATGATATTTATTTATGAATGTATGTACATTTTTTAGGTGTGTAGTGTATCCTCTACACTCATCCCTGTCCAATGAGGAGCAGCAGGCGGTCTTTACGCGCCCACCCGAGGGTGCGACCAAAATCATCATCTCCACCAACATCGCTGAAACTTCTGTTACCATTGACGATGTGGTGTATGTCATAGACTGTGGCCGGATGACATTAATAATGAAATGTGTTGTGACATGTTTTGGTTGTCGGATTCACCTGTTAAAAGTGGATGATGATATTTATTTATGAATGTATGTACATTTTTTAGGTGTGTAGTGTATCCTCTACACTCATCCCTGTCCAATGAGGAGCAGCAGGCGGTCTTTACCCGCCCACCCGAGGGTGCAACCAAAATCATCATCTCCACCAACATCGCTGAAACTTCTGTTACCATTGACGATGTGGTGTATGTCATAGACTGTGGCCGGATGAAAGAGAAGCGGTATGAGACGCTGTCAAATCTAGATGTTTATTTTTCTTGGATACCATTGAATATTCTTTGTGGTTTTGGATGCATTAGCATATGTTTGTGCATGTATCAGGTACGATGCTAGTCGCAGTATGGAGAGTCTAGAGGACGTGTGGTTGTCTCGTGCCAACGCTCTTCAGAGAAAAGGCCGTGCCGGTCGTGTGGCGTCAGGTGTCTGCTTCCATCTGTTTACGAGCCATCGCTTCACACACCACCTGAGCCAACAGCAGCTGCCTGAGATCCAGAGAGTTCCTCTGGAGCAGCTCTGTCTAAGGTAACCACCTTAAAAGGAAACTAATCACACACAAAAGCACGTGCTTTTACATCAAAACACTTTAATTAAAGGTTCACCCAAAAGTGAACATTTTCTGAAAATGTACTCACCCTCAGAGCATCCAAGATGCAGATAAGTTTGTTTGTTCATGGGAACAGATTTGGAGATTTCAGCATTACATCACTTGCTCACCAATGGATCCTCTGCAGTGAATGGGTGCCGTCAGAATGAGAGTCTAAACAGCTGATAAAAACATCAACGTAATCCACACATTGTTGGACTGGAGTGGTACGTGTGGATTATTGTGATGTTTTTATCAGCTGTTTGAACTCTCATTCTGACGGCACCCATTCACTCCACTGGTGAGCAAGTGATGTAATGATACATTTCTCCAAATCTGTTCCCATGAACGAACAAACTCGTCTACATCTTGGATGGCTTTTCATCAAATTTTCATTTTTGTGTGAACTATTCCTTTAATATAAGTAAACTTAATGTGAAACCGAAGTATGACCGGTTTAGATCTTAATAGTGTAAACTTGAACCCATTTCTGTTCATGTCTTCCAGGGTTAAGGTGTTGGAGGTGTTTGCAGAGCGTTCTCTGGAGTCAGTTTTCTCTCAGCTTATTGAGCCGCCCACTGAAGGCAGTCTGGAGGCCTCTAAACAGCGCCTGTGTGCCCTGGGCGCCCTGACAGACAAGGAGTCTCTGACTCCCCTCGGTTGGCATTTGGCCTGTCTGCCCGTCGACGTCCGCATCGGTAAACTCATGCTGCTGGGAGCCATCTTCCGCTGCCTGGACCCTGCCCTCACCATCGCCGCCAGCCTGGCCTTCAAGAGTCCATTCGTAAGTCACCAGCCACATGTAGAAGATCACACTCCAGCGCAGTACTATGTTACCTGAGATCTTGCCATACTCACAGGTGTCTCCATGGGATAAACGAGAGGAAGCTAATGAGAAGAAGTTGGGGTTCTCTCTGGCGAACAGTGACCATCTAGCTTTGCTGCAGGCATACAAGGTCAGTTCAGGCTCTGATAAAATGAATGACTAAAGGGTATACAATTGATAATGTGACTGTGATCATACAATTGATAATGTGATGTTTTGTTTTTCTTAAAATTTGTTGGATCATTTTATACTTTTAGCTTCCAATAAAAGTGTATTTTACAGCATTTGAGCTTTTTTAATTCCATTCACAGACTTCAGCGTCTCATTCTGTTCACACCTGCATATCAGAATCATTATTTGGATTTTTTAAATTCTCACCATTGACTTTATTACGCTGATAACATCGAACTTATTGTTTCCAATTGTAAAACAATAAATTAAAAAATTACTCATGATTTTCACAAAAATATTAAGCAGCACAACTGTTTTCAGAAAGAAGACTCTTAGGCTCAAAAATACAGTAAAAACTGAAATATTGTGAAATATTACCATTTAAAATAATTTCATGCCACATGAAATCATTCTAATATGCTGATTTGCTGCTCAAGAAACATTATTTTACATAATATTTACAGATTATGTGAACATACTGAAAATATCTCAGTGAATTTTATTTTCTATTGACAATTCTATCGGTAGATTTTTTTTTTTGTAACATTTTTGTTAATTAGGCCATAAGACACCTTTATCAGTCAGTTCTAATCATTTCATGATCAGTCATGAAAATAATCAGTATTCTCAATAAATGTATCTACTTCTGATCATATCTTTTTTTCATATTCTTTACGCATTTCTGATAATTACCCATTAAGATCTGAGCCTTGTTCGTTATTGGGTGCATGTTCGTTCATAGTTCGCTCAGTTCATGTGCATGAACTACGCTGGTTAATATAATCATGAAGACTTGTGCTGATATGTGACGTGTTTGCTCAGGGTTGGTGTAATGCAACACAAAGCGGATTTAAGGCTGGTTACCAGTACTGCAGAGAGAACTTCCTCTCGATCCGGGGCTTACAGGTGAGACTGGACTCTGATTGGCTCAGTGTAAATGTCAGTCATTTTGGCATACTTGGATAACTGCTCTGTGTTGTGTGCGTGTTCTTTCAGGAGATAGCATGTCTTAAAAGGCAGTTTGCAGAGCTTCTGTCTGACATTGGCTTTGTGAAGGATGGACTGAAGGCCAGGGTCATTGAAAAAATGAGCTCGAAAGGAAGTGATGGGGTGCTAGAGGCCACAGGCTATGAGGTAACGGATTCTTGAGTTCAGAGACAAAAACTACAGAACTGAAAGATGTTCAAGTTTATGCACTTAAGATCATAGAAGTGTGAAAAGAAGATCTTCGGGATTAAGCTTTTTCTAACTGATTTTGATTGATTTAAGTGTTTTTATACATTTCTGACAGTGCTGACAGGTAGTAGAGACAGCTTTGAAACCGGAAGGATTTTCGGTTTCAAAATTGAAATTAAAATATAAAAATATTTTACATTATTTCAATAAAATGGTGCATTTGTGTTAACATTCTAGTGATCATCTCTCATTAATATCAGTTTGTGCTATTCTCAAAACTATTTGGAAGATGTTTTATTCCATGTCTTCCAGACAGTGAATGGTTTTTGACACTATATATGTCATATTTATACTGTTGGGTAAAATCTATACAAGATATATAAACATTTTAGGTAAAAATAATGATAAAACCCATTAGTATGAACTCCCAACATGTGACCTGTTCTTTTAACACCGGTGCTTTTCTGTCCATCACAGGCCAACCTGAACTCTGATAACACAAAGCTGATGTCAGCCATGCTGTGCGCAGCTCTCTACCCTAATGTAGTCCAGGTCAGTGCACACATTTCTCTAGTGTGTAAGATGATTAATGTGAATGTGTGTAAAACATGCCGTGTTTTGTTTAGGTGAGATCTCCTCAGGGGAAGTACAAGCTCACTAGTAAAGGTGCTATGAAGATGCAGCCTAAAGCAGAGGAACTGCGCTTCATGACCAAGAGTGATGGAGCCGTCCACATACACCCCTCATCTGTCAACTTCTCTGTAACTATCTCATCTAAACTACATTTGCTCTGAACATTTTCAGGGCAGGATTTTGTCCATTGGATTGTGAAAAGTGGGCATTGTTAGACTGCAATATTATCAGTAATATTTTTCTAAATAATTTTACATTTTATGTGAACCGTCTGTCTTGCATAATTTGTAAGTTTTTTTTTTAGAGGCGGATAAATTAAATTTAATATAATATTAAATATATTTTAAAATATAGTATTTTATATAATAAAATTGTGAATGTGTATATAATACATGTGCATATTATTTTATAAATTTTTTGTTTCATTAATTTAATAATTTATTCAGTTACATGTATTTTTATTAAATAAAATAGTTTTATATATAATTAACAATATATACATATATACACACACACATATCATTATATAAAATAATAAAAATATAAATATAAAATAATAATGTAATAAATTAAAGATGTTTAATTTAAATTTTTTTCATTCAATATAAACCATATATAATAAAATTATATTAATAAATATATATATATATATATATATGTGTGTGTGTGTATACAGTATATAATACATATTTTATTGTATATAAAAATAAAACACACATATAAAATTACATTTATCTAGTTCTTAAATTATTTGAATTGTCTTAAATCAAGTGTAATTTTCACTCTATGCAGGTGCGGCACTATGACAGCCCATACCTGGTGTACCATGAGAAAGTGAAGACCAGTCGAGTGTTTCTGCGTGACTGTAGCATGGTGTGCGTGTATCCCATGGTGCTGTTCGGTGGGGGGCAAGTGAGCGTGGAGCTGCAGCGTGGAGAGTTCATCATCTCTCTGGATGATGGCTGGATCAAATTTGCTGCTGTGTCTCATGAGGTAAAGCAGACTTGCACTAGAATATTACAGTGGCGTGCGGTGACTTTTTTTTAACTGGGTATGCTGAGTGATAAAGACCCCCCCCCCCCCCCCCCTTTTCAGTGGACTTTTAAAATTCACTTTGCTTGAGAAAACAAAAATTATACAGTTAGTGTTTTTTTTTCTTTTTCTTTTGATTTAGTCGAGTTGGTTTTGCATCAAACACAATGTGATTTTCGGCAATCGAGATCTGGCAGCAACAGCGCATTCAAACAAGTACACACATATGACCTGTATTTTGGGGTTGGTAAGATTGTTTTTAACGTTTCTGAAAGAGGTCTCATGCTCACAGAGGCTCTATTTATTTGTATAATAAATAAATCATATTTTGAAATATTATTTCAATTTAATAAAATAGCAGTATTAAAAATAAAATCTTACCGACCTCAAACTTTGCATTATCATGTGCCACCGCTTTGTTTTGTCTGAATTAAAATGTACTTTTAATTCAGTTACCTGGTTAACAGCATCTGGACACTTTTGGGTCTCTAAACAGAAGGCACTGTGTTTGGAGTAAGCAGCTCCACCCTTTCCTTTCAATGTCCCATCCAGGAAGTTAGAGGTGTAGAACTGAACCCCAGGCTGTGTAGTGCTCACCTCCAGAACACGACCCGTCCCAGGATGCACCACTCTACTCAGACCAACACGTGCAGCCGTATTAATGCACATAAAGGGTAATCACGTGGGCTCAATAATCCAATTGAAATAACACAGGCTACCGTGCACATTTTCGCTCCAGTGGTGGATCACCAGGTAAACAGAGAGAAGTTGTGATAAAAGCCTGGACCAGGCAGCTCTTCCAGTCTAGAGCCCAAGAGGACAAGCTTTCTCAGGTCAAACAGGGTCTTCTCCACAGGTTTCACCTCCCCTGTTACATTGTAACAAAACCATATTTGACAGGTCCTGGTTACAGAAGTTTAAAAGATCGAATTCTCTAAAATAAACAATGTGATAAAAATACCAGTCGGGATCACTGTATCATCCACAGGCAGGTACGACTCAGCTGAGATGGTCACCTCATGGTCGTAAATGTTTGGTGTCCCCTGCAGAATTTAGGATATGAAATATCATTTATTGATAGTAGGAATACACCTGTTGTGTCCACAAAACTCATGCAGCCTTTAACCATGCAGTGTAAGACGAGGTTTATAAACTGTGTCCTTGTAGCCCTACCTGTCCAGCCAGGTTGAAGTATGAATGGTTGGTGAGGTTGATGGGTGTAGTACGGTCAGTCTGTGCATGGTACAGCACACTCAGTGTGTTCTTCTCCAGCCTGTAGGTGACAGAAGCGTTTAGGTTCCCAGGATAACCCTCATCACCATCTGGACTGAAGTGACTCAGCTTCACTCGTTATCCACTGCCTCTGTGGTCCACACGGCCTACAACACACAAACGCCCTTAATGCGATGCCTACAATCATGCCTGCTGACTCAAATAACATACCATATAATGAAGCTTAATTTGGACCATTTCAGATTCATACATGTTTGTTTACCTTGTCAAAGCTCTTCAGTCCTCCATGCAGAGCATTGGGTCCATTGTTTATAGCCAGTTCATATTCCTTCTCATCTACCACAAACCGGCCCTTAGCAATGCGGTTTGCAACCCGGCCAACCACAGCTCCAAAGTAGCGAGGGTTTGAGAGATATCCTAGAATGAAATAAAGGGCATTAAGCATTAGTTTCATTCTGTATATCTATAGTTAAGTCTAGTGATCGATATATCGATTAATAGGCCAACATTTGGTTATTCTGGGATCATCGGCCTATAACATAACCATAACTGCATGTCTGATTACAGGAGTGGTTCTCAACCTTTGGCCACAACAATATTCAAAGGCCTGACTCTCCTAGTAAAATACATTTCAAGAATTCAGAAGTTTAAAGAGTTGAATATTCTGCAAGCTTCCCTCACTTTTTAACCAATGAATTTGCATGGCTTGAAGAATTTTACAACTATTTTTACTCACAGTTTCTACCTGATCAAATATTTTAGAGCTCGGCAAACAATTTCAAATTCTTAATAAAAGTGTCCATGGCATTTTTAAGATTTTATTCATTTACATGACTTTTCCAGGTCTAGAAATCACACTTTTTATATCCATATATTCATCATGTATCCAGGTTTTTCAAGACCGTAGGAATTTTGGTTGTTGAGGGGATGAAGTCAAAGAAGAAATATCATGATTTTTAGTTGTTTAGCTTATTTTTAAAGCTTGTTTTGACTTATTTAAAATCATTTGAAGTCTTCTTGAGGCTTACTTGGAAGTTTGCTGCAGATCCCCTGCTTAAGAACCACTTATGTTTATTTCAGAAAAGTCTTTAAAAGTACACATCTGTTTTCAAAGATTTTTGCGAATTAAGTAAATATTGTGCATTTGTTCAATCAATTCTCTGCATTTGCATGCATCTGTAGGAATGTCTCATTTGCTTTAATTATTAATATTACATCAGCTATACTGCTTTCTAAATATTGGTACAATTAGTCTTTTAAAATCATAAATTGGTCGACAGTTAAAGACTTTTTTCAGCAGCTTTTCTACTGTAGTTGGCACAGCTGCTGCGTCGTTCAGTGCTGTTTAATATGATATAGCCTACATATAATATTTATAATCAGATTCTGATAATGGCTATACTATTTTACATATTGCTGAGTGGCTCGGACTTTCTTTTTGAAGCAAACTCTTTGATAAAAACCAAATGTTTCAAATGTTTTAGACTGAATTAAAGAATATAAAAAATAAGATGTTTTATTATAGTTTGTTCTTTTTTTAAAATACATTGATTTATTACAATTGTTTTATTGAAACATTTTATTACTAAAATTAAATCCGAAATCCCTGGAAATGAAACAAATGAGTCAATTGCTGACATTCAGGAATAGTTTAGGGCTATAAAATGAATGTGGAGTCAACAGCTTAATTGGATCAATTGGTATTTGGGAGAATTTCATAGGAAATGTCTTGACTAACTTGCATAATGAAATGTTTTATCAACTGGATGTTCCACAAAACTAGAATTAATCTAAAAAAAAAATTCTAATTGCTATTTAAGAGAAACAGCTGAGATATAACCGAATCATTATTGAATCTTCTCCTTTTTCTTTCTTTCTTTCTGTATGGACTGTGGCCACATCTGGCGAGGAATAAGCAGAGAAGTCGGTCGCAAACATCTGCCATTCATAATAACTAAACTCTTTCCGCCTCTGATTTCCCATGGACTGAATGCATGAACTTGCCTTCTAAATCATCGTATCCTAACACTATATCCGCGCTTTGGCCGCTGCGATCCGGTGTGCTGAGGGACTTGGTCCCGCAGCCCAGAGAGAGGCTCTCCGCAGTCACAGCGCCGGAGCGCAGGCGCCAGCTCTCCACGGGACCCACGGGACCCGGTGCTGGGCCGCACTGCTCTTTACACACCTCAATCATCAAATCTCAGCAAAAAACATATTTTATATATGTTAATTTAGATTTGTTTGTAAAATAATATGCATGATATAATATTAAAATATAAATAACTGTATTTTTAAATGCATTGCATTATTAAAAACTTACACATTTTTGAATGATTTCAATTTAAGTTTTTTTTAATAACTAGTAATTCTACACATTCTCAACTAATATGCTTTAAGCAGTGCATTAGTAGTTAGTCAGTATGCTACACTCTAAGAAAAGTCTAAAAATAAGGCACAATCTACTATGTTAATATGAATGAATTTTCCGTAATGGTTTTTTAACTGCATTTTAAATTACGCATTGTGTTTTCGGGTTACAATGGATGATGTCCTGAAAAATTTCCATTTTCTTACAGTGTACTAACTGATCAACAATCGCAGGTACAAGCTACTAACAAGGTGTATCATAAATGAACAATTATTCAATTATCAAATTATTCAATTATTAAGTTGAACAATTGCAAATAGCAGCTAACTCAATTCACGTGATGTGTGTACGGCTAGGCGTCTGTGGTTTCCTCTTTTTGTGTAATTTGGATGGGAAATGTGTGCCTTTTTATTGTCCGAGTCACTTATCAAAAGTTGCTAAAGGTTGCCAAATCAATTTTTTAAAAGTGCTAAATTTGTTGCTAGGTGCTTTTGGAAGAAAAAGTTGCTAGGGTAGTCTGAAAAGTTGCTAAATTTAGCAACAAAGGACAACAGGACTCACAGCTCCACCACTGAAATGAACGTTACAACACGGCAGTACAAATGACTACATCTTCAGTTAATAAACTACAAAGTACCGCCCACTGTGTCCGAATCCCTTCTATCAATTGCGAGTGAGTAAATAGTTTGCTGGTGTTGTACTGCCACCATCTGGATTGGAGCAGTACTGCGCATATATACACGTGGCCTGCTCTGCAATATGCACGTATGAACCATTTTAATTTAAACTTTAAACGTTGATATTAAAATGCATTAAACTTATAAAATGCTTTTTTTTTTTAAATCGCACGTTGCACATGAATAAAAACAATATTGAAAAAAAGATTGCAAAACAACATCGTTTTTTTTCTTTCAAAAATAAGTTTTCAGAACAACTTATCTGCTGTCTTGTAATTATCAGCTGCTTTACTACATTAATAGTATAAAACAAAACAATCTTTGTGGGATTTGATGAGGACCAATAAGTGCAGCACGCTGAAGATCTGATAATATTGATCTAGAATACTAATTATAATGAAATTACAACAACATTTGATTAATCGGTAATTATTGTAGTTGCTATTTGTTTTGTTTAATTTAGCAGTGCCATTTGCTGACAGCTTTCTTCGTTTTTTTTTTCATTAATGAATTATTTTGTGACATTGTGACCTGGAGAGGCATCATATGCAGATGCATTTTAAACGTGTCAGTCTAAAAATAGACCAGTCCTAGATACGCTGTGCCTCTGAGGGTTCCTCCTTTAAATCTTCACACCTCTTTTGTTTCCTATCGTTCAGTTTCTCAGCGAAAATGTGCACAGTGGCATAAGTCTGAGATCACTATAATGTTTTCTCTTTTTTGCCTTTCTTTCCTTT